CCAGAACCAGCTGAGCCGGGGCTGGGGCATGAGCCTGAAGGGTCCTCACCTGTGCTGGATCCTCAGGTGCAGGCACCAGCTGAGTCTGCTCTGGCTCCTGAGGTGATGGAGGACCCATTGCCTACAGTTGCTCCACTCTCAGCCCCGTCAGAGGAAGCTGAGGTTGCCTCTGGGTCCAGTAACCCTCCAGCCCCTCCTGAGCTGCAGAGGCTCAGGGCAGAGAGGCAGAGGGAACTAAGTTCCTGCAGGAGGAGTGCTCGCCTCCAGGCCAGGAGAGGTGAGTCACCAGAGGATTGGGGCTGCCCTATGCCTCAGGGCAGATAAAATCCAGCCAGCCCCAGCCCCAAGTTGCGGGAGCAACATTGTTGGTTGCTAGTTCCTACCTGAATCCTGCCCTGCCCTGGCTCCCTGCTTGCATGCCTGTTCCTGACTTCACCCGACTCCCTGCCCTGCACCCAGTTTCAGCTACTACGGACTGCCTCCACGTTGCACCTTCGACCACGGACCGGACTTGGACCTTCTCTGTTGGGTAACCCACGGGACTAGCACAGCAGGAGAGCAAAGAGTTCAAAGACAGAGAACATGTAGCAGAACCCATAGAGGAGATGATGAGAATGACAAATGAGGAAGTGGGAGAGAAAGGGGGTGGAGATTCACTCGGGACAACACCATTATCCAAGAGTCTGGGTTCTATAGCCTCTCTCTGTAAAGACTGAAATAAAAAAGGGTGGTAAGAAACTTTTCCTTGTCTTTATACTTTCCTGCGCAACCAGCTGGGAGCTGCTGAAAGCATCCTGACATATAGGCAGGAGCTCCAACTTCATGGGGCCAGCTGTCTCCAGCTCCCTCAATATCTGTTGGGAGGGACTGGGCCCCCTCAATGCTGAGGACATGGAGGAGACCGAGCGTGGAGCTAAGCGTGGCACATCTTCAGTGGCCAGCTCCTCCTGAGCACAAGAGAGGAGGAGCCACCAGTTATTGAGGCCACACCATGCTGGGCTCCAGGCTCAGCCTCCCCTGAATTTTAAAAAAATCATAAAACATACTTAGAATTTTGAATCTCCATGACAAGACACAGCTCTGTCTCTTAAGTATGTTCACATCAGTTATGATGCAGATAGAAAACATGCAGTTGGTGCTGTCAGCCAGCCTCATTGGCTAAGGAGCAACTGGGAGCTCATGTTCAGCAAAGGCAGAACTGGGAGCTTGCTTTGTAGCCTTCTGTTCACTTGCCCTACACCTGATGTCAGGTGTAACAGGTGTGTGTTCTTTGGAGGAAATAGGTTCATGGGCCAAATTGAGACCCATGCTAGGCCTAATTCAGCCCACTGTTCAGAGGTTTCTCACCCTGATTCAAGGGTACATTCCAGTCAGGTAAAAGCAACCACAGAGAGTGCAGACTGTGGCCTGGAGAGTCCTCATGGGTAGACAGATCTGGAGATCAAGATTCTTTTAAAAAAAATTCTATTTTTTATTAGCTTTTTGAATTTACATGTCAAAATAAACATTTTACAAGCTTTAAAATATCCAATGACTTCTCTTTTTCCATATATTCAATAAATATTTTCCACTCTTCTTTAAATATACGTTCTTCTTTCTCTCTTATTCTGTGTGTTAAACCTGCAAATTCTGCATATTCTAACATCCAGTCCTCTTTACATGGGACCTTGCTCACTTTCCATTTTTGGGCTAACAGAACACTGGCTGCTGTTGTTGCACACATAAATAAACCTAGGGATTTCTGTCTGGGTTATTCCCAATAGAAAGGACTCTGGTCTATTTGGGGAGGTAATTTTAAGCACTCCCCCAACTCATTATAAATCATTTCCCAATATTCTTTTACCTTTTTACATGTCTACCACATATGAAAAAAGTTCCTGCCATTTATTTACAGTTCCAATGCATATCTGATTCTACTTTATACATCTTAACCAGCCTAGTCGGAGTTAAATACCAACTACGAATCATTTTCAAATAATTCTCTTTCAATGAATAACATGCAGTAAATTTCAAGTAACTTTCCCAGAGTTTCTCCCAGAGGTTTAAGTCTGTACTGCATTCTAAATCTATTGCCCAGTATGTCATTGAAGTTTTAACTACCTCGTCTTTTGTTCCCCATTCTAATAAAAAATTATACATTTAAGGCAAAAGTTTATCCTTATTTTGTAACAGTTCTTTTTCAAATTGTGAGCTTTGGTCCCAACATACCTGCTGGAAGTTCGCTGCCCCTGTCCTAAAGTAAAGTAGCAGCTTAAAATCTCTTGAACAGGTGAAACAGGTGATGCTGCCCTATAGGTTTCTCTAAGGCTGCCAACAGGGATCTTTCCTCAGCTTTGCTACCTAAGAACCAGGACTGGCCCACTCATGAGGCAAGGTGAGGTGACTGCTTCAGGCAGCAGGATCCACAGGGGCAGCAGACCCCATCTCCCAGGAATGCATCACTTGCTGCCATGCTCTTCTTGGAGGTCAAATGGTTTGCTCCTCAGCAGCCCCCCCCATGCCACTTCTAGGCAACTAGGAGGTGGTACTGGTCTTCTACGGAGGAAATGGCAGGTGCTGCCCTCTGGGGTCTGTACCCGCCTTCAAGGGTGGTTAAGGGTGATTTGAAGTCTTTGTGGCAGAGGCAGAGCTTTGTTTTCAGCTCTGAATAGAAGAAAATCATATTTCTAAGATGCTGTACCTGTGCTTGGACAAACACGTGATATTATGCAAATGTTTGGATGTAACATTATTGTTTTGAGTGTCTATTTGAACCATATTTTTGGACTGGACAATTTTTATTTCCAGAAGTTTTTATTCACCCTGTTGCTTCCATATACACAATAATCGCAATAAACTCAGGCAGCCAATGGCAGGTGGAGCTAGAATCCATGACATGCAGGGGTAACTAATTCTGGTTGTGTCCTCATCATTTCCCTTGCTGGGTTCTACAAGAGGCAACACTGAGACTAAGGAGGAAGAAGTTGACAGCCACTGCGAGACCCTGGATGCAGGTGGAGGCTGAAGGCCAATTGAGGTTGGTGGGCCAGTGTCTAATCTGCCCGAATGGATTAGCCTTCACTAGATGACGTTGACTGGACTAGTGTACATGCCACATGGGTGGAAAAAAAGTCAAGACTTGAGCCTGTTTTCTTCACCAACTTTGCATCTTCTTCTGCAGCTAAGCTGTTTATACCAAGCCAACAACAAGAATGATGTTAATTTCCTGGATATATAAATCTCTGCATTTGTGTTTTTCCATACACAAATTGTGCCTGGAATAACAACGATGCAATTTGCCAAAAAGTGCACATGAGGGTATGCACACATCACTGTGTGTGGCTTGATGCACAGACTAGATAGCCAGACATCCAAGGACCTCGTGTCTGGGTTTATGACAAACTGCCCGAAACCTTGCAGTGATAAAAGGAAAGACTGAGTTAAGGCAACTTTTATAAAAAAGAAATTCAACAGCAAATTCATTTCCCAGAGAGCTACAGTCCAACTTTGGCTTGAATCAAATGTTCTGTGGTTAACATTTTTATTTCACTGCCAACCATCCGTATGTGATGAGAACAGCAAAATGTTATATAAATCATGATTGGGATTGCTCCCCCCCCGGCCATTGTGGTCCTGTTATTAAGATGTATATCAATGGATGCAAAGCTCATTTTATTGGCAATGTAGGCTTAAATTTAGATCCAGTACAATAGTAGCTGCAATGGAAAGAGAGAAGACAGGTGAGGGGCCTCTTACTGTGCACAAAGAGTACTATCCCACCTAGATGTAGTTAGCATGGGAACATAGGAAGCAGTGGTACCCCCAAGTCAAAACATTGGTCCATCAAGCTGAGTAGACTGGTAGTCTGGTTGGCAGCAGCTCTGGAGGGTTTCAGGCAGGGGACATTCCCAGTCTTGGAGATACTGGAGATTGAACCTCGGATCATCAGTATACAAAGCAGATGCTCTACGACTAAGGCATAGCCATTCGCCATTGGGCCATGAGATATTTTCTCAGGAAAAGCAGTAGGAGTTGGCATCCTGAGTGAGACTGGGATTAGCCGTGCCACATTTCTGAACCCACGGAGGCTCCAGACCAGCTGACCTTTAAGGTCATCCAAGAAAAGAACAGAAGAATGGCATTTACCTTATTTTCCTTTGCTAGAGAATTGGTACAGCAAGCGGAGGCCTAGCTTTAAAGCAGGGGTAGCAACCTAAGGCCCGGGGGCCGGATATGGCCCAATTGCCTTCTCTGTCCGGGAATCAGCGTAGGAATTCATTCATTCCCCCCCCAAAAAAAACATAGTCCGGCCCCCCACATGGTCTGAGGGACAGTGGATCGACCCACGGCAAAAAGGGTTGCTGACCCCTGCTTTAAAGGAAGACCCAGAGCAGGAACTACAACCAGCCTTCTGGTTGGAACTTACTGTTAATAATAAGAACATCACCTCCTTTCCACAGCATGCTGCATCTCCTGCAGAGCAGCAGATTAAATTCGTAGCCTCAGCTTGTCATTGTCTTTAAGACAGGGATGAGGGATCAGTGTGCTTCCAGAGGCTCCTAGCAGTGGTGGGACAGAAGGCAGGGGGACTAATGGTATGTGGAGATGGAGTCAATGACAGACAGAGTCAGCTGATTCTAGTTTTGTCTGCATCCTCTTCCTTACTGAGTTACCAAGGGGCAACACAGACTAAGGAGGGGAAGCTATTAGGCAGTATTTATTTCTTAGTCTGGCCCTAGCAGGCGGGGGACTGGCTGACTGCAGACTGAAGGTGGTGAGGCCGCACCCCATTCACCCTAGTGGACCAGCCTCCATTGGTTGCTGGACCACACTCGACATCAATCGCAGGTTCCCCATCCTTGGCTCAAGGCTTAGCTACCACAGCTGACGGGGATGGCAGAGTCTTTAAGGGACCTTCAGCATGCAGACATACATGAAACAGAAGCAAATCACAGAATTGCAGTTGCAAGGGATCTTCAGGATCATCTAGTCCAACCCCCTGCAATGCAGGAATATGAAACTGTCCCATACAGGGATTGAACCGTCATTCATGGCATTATCAGCACCATGCTCTAACCAACCGAGCTATCCAGATATTGTTTGTTCTTGTGGGGTAAGCTAGGTTTTCACCCACCTTTGCTGTTCAAATGATACATACATTTGCCTCTGTAATAAATGTGGATTTCCTTGTACAGTGGTACCTCGGTTACAGACGCTTCAGGTTTCATACGCTTCAGGTTACAGACTCTGCTAACCCAGAAATAGTACCTCGGGTTAAGAACTTTGCTTCAGGATGAGAACAGAAATTGTGCGGCGGCGGTGCAGCGGCAGCAGTCGGAGGCCCCATTAGCTAAAGTGGTACCTCAGGTTAAGAACGGTTTCAGTTTCTATATTTATATGTACCTGTTTAAAGCAATATAAAAGTTTTTTTTTAAAAAGAAAAGAACAGTTTCAGGTTAAGAATGGACCTCCAAAACGAATTAAGTTCTTAACCTGAGGTACAACTGTATGGACACACACATACAGTTTGTGTGTGTGTGTGTGTGTGTGTGTGTAAAAAAATGAGGTGTTGGTGCTCATATCTTGATAAAAGTGTCATGGATGCCAATGGAAAATGGCTACCATGGACATCAAAACAATATGTGACGGTACTCCTTATCTGTGAGTATTGTCACCAAAAAGGATTAATATGGTTTTTTTAAAAAAAGCCTGTTATTCTTATTCTTATTACCCCACTTACTAATTACCTTCAACACATCATCTGGAGACTGTCCCTCCTTTACTTTCCCCCAGTGAACGAACCTCCTTGCCTCCTGCCCACTTTTATTCAGTGTGCAAGGAGGTGCTGGCACTTCAGGCAGGTGACCACCCATACTGTAAACAGTCTATGGCAAGAGTAGACATAGAATCATAGAATCATAGAGTTGGAAGAGACCACAAGGGCCATCGAGTCCAACCCCCTGCCAAGCAGGAAACACCATCAGAGCACTCCTGACATATGGTTGTCAAGCCTCTGCTTAAAGACCTCCAAAGAAGGAGACTCCACCACACTCCTTGGCAGCAAATTCCACTGTCGAACAGCTCTTACTGTCAGGAAGTTCTTCCTAATGTTTAGGTGGAATCTTCTTTCTTGTAGTTTGGATCCATTGCTCCGTGTCCGCTTCTCTGGAGCAGCAGAAAACAACCTTTCTCCCTCTATGTGACATCCTTTTATATATTTGAACTTGGCTATCATATCACCCCTTAACTTCCTCTGCTCCAGGCTGAACATGCCCAGCTCCCTTAGCCGTTCCTCATAAGGCATCGTTTCCAGGCCTTTGACCATTTTGGTTGCCCTCCTCTGGACACGTTCCAGTTTGTCAGTGTCCTTCTTGAACTGTGGTGCCCAGAACTGGACACAGTACTCCAGGTGAGGTCTGACCAGAGCAGAATACAGTGGCACTATTACTTCCCTTGATCTAGATGCTATACTCCTATTGATGCAGCCCAGAATTGCATTGGCTTTTTTAGCTGCCGCGTCACACTGTTGGCTCACGTCAAGTTTGTGGTCAACTAAGACTCCTACATCCTTTTCACATGTACTGCTCTCAAGCCAGGTGTCACCCATCTTGTATTTGTGCCTCTCATTTTTTTTGCCCAAGTGCAATACTTTACATTTCTCCCTGTTAAAATTCATCTTGTTTGTTTTGGCCCAGTTCTCTAATCTGTCAAGGTCGTTTTGAAGTCTGATCCTGTCCTCTGGGGTGTTAACCACCCCTCCCAGTTTGGTGTCATCTGCAAATTTGATCAGGATGCCCTTGAGTCCATCATCCAAGTCGTTGATAAAGATGTTGAATAAGACCGGGCCCAAGACAGAACCCTGTGGCACCCCACTAGTCACTCTTCTCCAGGATGAAGAGGAACCATTGATGAGCACCCTTTGGGTTCGGTCAGTCAGCCAGTTACAAATCTACTGAGTGGTAGCATAGTCAAGACCGCATTTTACCAGCTTCTTTACAAGAATATCATGGGGCACCTTGTCAAATGCCTTGCTGAAATCAAGGTAGGCTACATCCACTGCATTCCCTTCATCTACCAGGGTTGTAATTCTGTCAAAAAACAAGATCAGGTTAGTCTGACATGACTTATTTTTCAGAAATCCATGCTGACTATTGGTGATCACAGCATTCCTTTCTAGGTGCTCACAGACTGTTTGCTTAATGATCTGCTCCAGAATCTTCCCTGGTATTGATGTCAGACTGACTGGGCAGTAATTATTTGGGTCCTCTCTTTTCCCCTTTTTGAAAATAGGGACAACATTTGCCCTCCTCCAGTCTGCCGGGACTTCGCCTGTTCTCCAGGAATTCTCAAAGATGACTGCCAGTGGTTCTGAGATGACATCTGCCAGTTCTTTTAATACTCTTGGATGCAGTTCATCTGGCCCTGGAGACTTGAATACATCTAGACTAGCCAAGTATTCTTGTACTATCTCCTTAGTTATTCTGGGCTATGTTTCCTCTGCTGAATCATTTGCTCCAAATTGTTCAGGTCGGGCATTGTTTTCTTTATCGGAGAAGACTGAGGCAAAGAAGGCATTGAGGAGTTCAGCCCTTTCTGTGTCCCCTGTTTGCATTTCACCATCTTCTCCTCTGAGTGACCCCACTGTTTCTTTGTTCTTCCTTTTGCTACGAACATACCCATAAAAGCCTTTTTGTTGCTTTTAACCTCTCTAGCAAGCCTGAGTTCATTCTGTGCTTTAGCTTTTCTGACTTTGTGTCTACATGTGCTGGCTATTTGTTTGAATTCCTCTTTGGTGGTTTCCCCCTTTTCCATTTTTGTACACATCCTTTTTTAATCTTAACTCAGTTAAAAGTTCTTTAGATAGCCACCCTGGCTTCTTTAGGCACCTTCCATGTTTCCGTCTCATTGGTATTGCCTGAAGTTGTGCTTTTACAAAACATCTTCTGTCTGGGATTCCCCTAGTCTCCCAGAAGTATTCTATGACCGACACACCAGTCTGGATGAATACGGTTCCTACCAGAAGGAGGAGAAGGAGAAATAGAAGAGTGCTACTGCCTGTGAAACACTCACACAAGAGTGCTATTTTTCTAGAAAAAGAGGTGCCAGAACTCACCATGAACACCTCTTTCTCCCAATGGCAATGGTGCCCACCTGAGAAGTGCTGGAACTGAGTTCTGGCTGAAAAAAGCCCTGCACACAACCTCCCAAAAACCCCAGCTTCAGCATAAATGTTTGTTGCTGGCTACTAAAGTCTAGTTATACTTTAGTACAAAAATATATGAAATCTATCTATAGTGAAATAAGCAACTCATCACATTGAAGCTGCCAGTGGAACAGGCAATCCTGATTTTTTTGCATTAAAAATTTCCCCACAGATATATTGCTGTCGATAGCTATTGATTATCTGCAACTGAATTAATATCGAATGAGAACACACTAACTAACTTAGTTTGCAATTATCATTTAAAATGGTTGGGTTTTTTTTGCCGCATATATATTTGATAATTCTTATTGTATATAATTTCAAATGTTTCTGTTAACAACCATTCACATCAAAATACTATTTATATATCTTGTTTGGACTACTACTACTTCAGGGAAGGGAAATGGATTTTGGGGTGGTTTTGGGGGGTGGCGAAGCATTATGTAGGGAAAGTGTAAAATTTTCCTGCAAGTTTTGCACTTCAAATCACTACTACCATAGCTAACTTTACTTTAGAAAAAGCAACCACTGCGAGTTCATTACACATATTTGTGTGAGACGCATACTTGGACTCTCATGCAACCCCATTTCACTCACAGGCTTATACTATGTGGCAATACAAAGTGTTGATTTTATGCCCCTTTGAGTACATGGTTTTTATAATCCTTACACAAAATGAAAACAAAGAAGCTCAGTCCTGCAGCAGATGTGGTCTTCTTCCCCCTCTACCTCGGAAATGAATTCCACATTTCATCTAAAGAATGAACAGGATGCGGAAAACGAAGATTCTGATACAGAATCGCCAGGCATTCATAGTTAAATGCACCACCGTCAAAATGCAAAATGCAAAAAGCTACGGTCAGGCTGTGCTCCTGTCCTTCAGAAGACTGCCAGCAGATGGCACTAGTCCTGCGTGCATCATCTCATGTCCTCATCCTCAAAACAAACACCAGTGAGCACAAAAGAAACTGATAGCCTAGTGAGGTCACATGCCACTTCAAAGAAACCTGATAGTTTTAGCATACTGGGAACCCATTTAACATTATCTTTCTGACTATTATCTCATCTCTATATTTTATCTGACAGTTTTCTAACTCAGCATTTTATATACATGCACTGTGCCATCCTAAAGGTCAAACATTGCTATGTGCATTCTGAGCTTTCTTTACAATACGCCAAGTCGAACAAACCACGTCAGCTTTTAGCAGTAGGTTATTATTTAGTGCTTTGTGCAGTGACCTTGGCAAGACAGGTTGCATTTACCCTGTTTTTTTTGGTGTTTATCATTTGGTCTCATTGTTCATCCAAACCCATTCTCACGTTCAATTAACCTAAATTTGAAAATGCAGGCAGCAGGCATCGTGTAGTGTTTTTAACAACGTATTTATTATTATAAGGAGCTAAATTCAGAGGACATCAGCCTAAATCCTAGCTTGATGGGACAAGCACTGGATCAGATCCCTTTTGATCTTCAAGTACCCGAATAAAGTAAACGAAGGAGTACACACCATACCAAATGAGCCATGTTATATAGACAATAATGCTGTGAATGAGGTTTGTTTTCCAGTGTTTAAGGGACAGATAACAAACACATGAAAATTAACAGACTGGATCAGACTAGTGTTCTGTCTAGTAGGCTATAAATAACCACCACTTCAAGGAAGGTTCATCAACGTTGTGACAGGCTCGGGTGCTCTAAACAAATACAGTTTGCAGTGAAATGGAGGCTGAAATGGAAAATCACACTTCAGACTGAAATTATCTTGTGGAACATATACAATTGTGCCACGTCAGGAGGTAAAAAAGTACCTAAACTTGCACTGTCTGTATGCCACACTTGCTCTTTACTGAAAAACAAGAGTTAAACCCGCAGCTTTCCCCATAAAAATAAG